CACACATGTGCAGACAACTAATTTTTAAAGGGTAAAAAGCAATTCAGTGAAAGAAAGGTGATCTTTTTTTCTTCTTCTCTATTGATGTTAGAACAAGAGAGGAAGGGAGCGGGAGAGACCGAAACATCAATGAGAGAAGACATCGATTGGCTGCCTCCTGCATGCCCCCTACCGGGGATCGGGCTCACTACCTGGGCATGTGCCCTCATTGGGAATTGAACTGGTGACCTCTTGGTGCACGAGTCGACACTCAACCACTGAGCCACAACAGCCGGGCAAAAAGATGATCTTTGTAACAAATGATAGGAAGTAATTAGATATTCATATGCAAAAAAAGTGAACCTTGGCTTAAACCTCACACTTTATACAAATATTAATTTCAAATGGATAATGGATTTAAATGTAAAATATAAAACTTTCAGGAGAAAATGTTGAGGACCTAGGGTTTAGTGAAGAAATCTTAGACATAATATCAAAAGCACAACACACACACACACACACCTTTAAATTTCATCAAAAAACTTTTGTTCTCTGACTGACCCTGTTAAGATTTTGAAAAAACAAGCTACAGACTGGAAAACATATTTGAAAACCCTATATCTGACAAATGACTCATATCTAGTGTACATAAAGAATTATAAACACTCAACAGTTAAAAACAAGCAATCCAATTAGAAAATCTGAGAAGATATAAAGATACTTTTTACCAAACAGACATACAGGTAGCAAATGAGCAAATGAAGAAGCCACACCATAGATTACTACTCCATAATTAACACAGTCGGACTACTGATACAAGCACCAATGTGGATGAGTCTCCAGGGCATTATGCTAAGGAGGTGGGGGGGGGGGGGGAGCCAATAAGAAAAGGTTACATTTTGTGGGGTTTTATTTATATAACATTCTCAGAGTGACAAAATTATAGAGTTAGAGAACCGATGGATGGTTTCCAGGGGCCAGGGGAGGCAGAGAGGGGTAAGTATGACTATAAAGGAGAAGAGCCTGAATAATTCTGTACCCTGACTGCAAGAGTAGATGGCATGAACCTACACAGTGACATAGAACTATACACATGTCTTGTACCAATGTCGGTTTCCCAGTTTTGATACTGTACTATAGCTACGTAAAATATACTCATTGGAGGCACTAACCAATAAAGATCTGAGGATGTAAAACAATTTATAAGTTCATTTGGAGTCTCAAGAGTCACATCCCTGAGACACAGATTCTGGTAGCAACCTAAGTTGCCTTCCAAAGAGAACAAGGACAGAGGTTGTAAAAGCCAAAACCAACAAGTGTAATACTTTCATGCAAATGAAGGATTGCTGGCTAGCTTAACAGAGATTGGTTAGTTTCAGTATGCAGACGAGGGGACAAAAACTAGAAGGAGGAGGTCAAGCCCATATGTGTCCACAGAGCAGTTGTTGAGCCCAGTTTAGCAACAGTTTAATCAACTTAGCAGCTCTGAGAACTGAGGCACAGGATGTACACAGGCCCTGCTACCTTAGCAGCTGATTCTATTTTATATAAAGTCACCCTCGTTGCCCTGGCCGGTTTGGTTCAGCGGTTAGAGCGTCGGCCTGTGGTCCAGAGAGACCTGGGTTCGGTTCCCGCTAAGGGCACGTACCTCGGTTGCAGTTTGTCCCCGGCCCTGGTTGGTCATGTGGGTGGCAGCCACTCGATGTGTCCCTTCACATCGATGTTTCTCTCTCTCTGTTCCTCTCTCTCCCTCCCACTCTACCTGAACAAAAAATGGAAAAAAAATGTCCTCGGGTGAGGATAAAAAAAAAAAAAAAGTCACCCTCGTAGCAATGCTGACTCATCTAATTTTTTTCCATTATCAGAGGAAATTGTGAAGGATGCACAGGAACCTCTTGTACTATCTTTACAACTTTCTATGAGCCCATAATTAGTTCATATGAAGATATTTTTGTTAATATCATCGACTTGTAACTATAAGCATTTAGTATATGCAATTTTTAAAATCCTGTTGGGACATCCCATGGTTTTAATATGCTAAAATCCCCTGCAGCTGGAAGTTGCCTGGGCCTCTCTGATGTCTGACCTCTGGGAGGTGAGACAAGTAAACACACACACACAGACGGGCTCAAGCATCCTTATGGGATGCCAAGTTAAGAACACCCAAGAATAATTCTGCCTCGGGTCCAAACCTGAGTTGGGGTCTGCAAACAGAGGGAGATGATGGGCAAGACTCTACATGATCCACACCTGATCCCTCCTCACACACACACACGCACACGCACACACACGCAGGCATTTCAGCGGTGGCCGCTGCCATGGCTTTCGCAGTCATCTTGGCCATCTCTGCATTTGCGTCACTGGCTGTCAAGCTCTAATCTCTACACATACCCTGTTGGACCACATTATCTGTCTGGCCTTCCTCTCAAGGAGCCGCTCTGTGAAATGCTTCCCTAGGAGGTAAAGCCAGTCCTGGAGATTTTCCAAACCAGGAGATATTCTTGTTGTGTTTCCTGTTATGTAACTGAGGTTTATAAAGAGCTGAAGGAAAGAGAGGAGACCACTGTTATGTTTCAACTACTTTAACTCACCTTTCCCTTAACAACTCTGCTTCCTGTTTCCACCTTTCTTATTTTCTTTATTCCTTCCCTCCTGCATCTAAGACTAGGAAACTTTTTCTAAGTTTTTAAACAAGAAACCTTACTACCTCCATAAACCCATGTTTATACATGGGAGCTATTTTGAGTTACAAATAATTTGAAATGGGTGTAACTCCCTTCTTTATGTAGTCTTTGCTCTAATAGGATCTCTCTTGTGGTTTAGAGCATGCATACATCTCATTTTTACATGTTCCTATTATTAGGATATTTCCCCAAATGATTACTAACTTTTTTTCCATGTTATTTCATCATCCCAGTTATGTTAACCTTAGGTGTGATCATTTTTCTCATAGAAAACTAATCAAAATAGTGCATTTTTCTGGGTGATTAGCAAGCAGAGCTGTGACAAAGGCTTGTGTGTGTGTAGACAGTTTATTAGGGAAGTGATTTCAGGGAGCACAGGTTGTTCATGTCTGAATGCTACACAGGTACAGGTGTCAGAGGAGCCCCAGGACAAGAATCGAGGGATATAAGATGTGGTACCCCCAAGTGAGCCTCTGTTAGGCACTGGAAGCTAAGTGACTGCCCAAGGACAGGAAATAGAACCAAGAGGATTTGATGTGGAGCTCAAGATGTGGCCAACACAATTATCAACCTAAGAATTTCTGTAACCTGATGAGTAATTCACTGCCCAGTGGAATAACTATATTTCGTTCTATTAAGTCAGCCAGTGATATTTAATATCTCCTTACTGGTTTTGTATCTTCAATTTGCCCCATGATGTCTCTGAAGGTTGAAGAGTGAGAATAAATTTTAATGGTTGGGGTAACAGCCCATGTATGTTTCATTGGATTGCCAGCCTACATTTTAAGAGAGAAATATTAAAATAAAATGTGAAAGAATTACAAATGAGAGACGTTCACACTTGAGCTGTTTTTACATCTATGTTTTGATAAATTCATATGCTCTAAAACCATTTCATGTAGAATTTTATTTATAAGAAATAAGTGAGGACAGCAGAAGCTCCTTAAGAATTATGGAATGCTGTTTTGAATAAATAATATGTATTTCCAATAAACACAATTAGAGAAACATAATTAACCCTTAATTTATAGAATACAAAGGCCATTTTAATTAGATAACTAATAGATTAATTCACTATATAATGAATAGATTATTAAGTAATCTATTAATAACCAATTTACTATGTCTCAAAAACAGTTTTAAGCCCAGCTGGTGAGGCTCAGTGGTTGAGCATTGACCCATACACCAAGAGGTCGCCGATTCGATTCCCAGTCAGGACACATGCCCAGGCTGTGGGCCAAATCCCCAGTGGGAGGAATGCAGGAGGCGGCCAATCGATGTTCTCTCTCATCGATGTTTCTATCTCTCTCTTCCTTTCCCTTCCTCTTTCTCTAAATCAATAAAGAAAAAAATTAAAAAAGAAAAAACTGTTTTAAGATACACTAATTCATCTGATCCTTCCATTGTCTCCAAAGTAGGTACATACTGTCAATTTTTCATTTTAAAGATGATGACAGTGAGACACAAAGAGTTTGAGTAATTTACCCAAGGTCACACTGCTAGTAACAGGTGGGGGGAAATGTAGTACTGTGTAGTCAATATCTTCATTTGTTTTAAAAAAATGTACAGCTCAGCCAGTGTGGCTCAGTGGATTGAGCATCACCCCATGGACTGAGAGGTCTCAGTTCCATTTCCAGTCAGGGCACGTGCCTCGGTTGTGGGCTCGGTCTCCAGTAGGGGGCTTGCAGGAGGCAGCTGATCTATGTTTCTCTCTCACATCAATATTTCTAGCTCTCTCTCTAAAAAAAATCAATAAAAACATTATTTAAAAAAATTATGGAAGATTATAATGAATTAATGTGGTGGCCAAATACTCACAATACAGTCCTGAATCACTTTCTCTTTGCAATGATTAAGATGACCCAAGTGAAAATGTATCAATAAAGATATCACCCATCTCATTATAGAACACCAGCAACTTGATCAAATCTGTCTTTTGCTTGAAAATGTTCATCCCAGTATAAGAGAGAAAAATAATATATTGGCATAAACAAATGGAGAAGTGTGGTGACAGCCAGGCAGACAGGGTACTTTTGGAACTGTAAGTGTTTGATAAATTAATATCATTGTAAAACATGTGCACCGTTTAAAACATCCACCAGTAAGTGTCTTGGTTTTTCATTGCATCTCTTTATCCAACATAAGTTTTCATCAATGATTGTGTTAAATAAGACACATGAAAATATCTATGACAATTTTTTACTCCTTCCAAATTTTGTGGGAAGTTCATTAGAAGCTGAAAACATCAACCATTGTTTCCTGGAGAGATGATTCTCATTGATTTTCCATGCCCAGAGCATTCATATTGTGATGGGTATTTGTTCTATTATCTTTCAGTCATGGAGAACACTGGTACAGATACACTTCCTCTTAACATGATTTCTTCAGAAGAGCAAGAGACTGTATGTATATTTGGAACTGGAGACTTTGGAAGATCTCTGGCATTTAAAATGCTCCAGTGTGGTTATTCTATTGTTTTTGGAAGTCGAAACCCCAGGACGTCCAGTCTGCTGCCCAGCGGTGCAGAGGTCTTGAGCTATTCAGAAGCGGCCCAGAAATCTGACATCATAATCATTGCGGTCCACAGGGATCATTATGATTTTCTCACAGCACTAACTGAGGTTCTCCGTGGGAAAATATTGGTCGATGTCAGCAACAACCTCAAAATCAATCAGTACCCAGAATCGAACGCAGAGTACCTTGCTCAGCTGGTGCCGGGAACCCGCGTGGTAAAAGCATTTAACACCATCTCAGCCTGGGCTCTCCAGTCAGGAGCACTGGATGCAAATCGGCAGGTAAGACGAAATGATGCATTTACATTCAATCTTTAAAAAGGGAATTTTTAATGTGCACTCATCTCGAAGATTTCAAAATATAATTCCAAAATAACACAGCCACTGAATATTTCATTCTGCCGCTATGCGCGATGAATAGGTTTCTCAGGTTTAACCAAGTAGGGTAGCCCATTGTGATTTATTTCTCACCGTCTGCAAAGCTTTTGCTTTGATGGAACTCAGTGGTGCCAGTCTCTGGAGGCCTGCTGTTAGTACTAGAAAATAGCACGCCTAAATTGTTGATAGATATCCTTTCCACTCCCATTACCTTGTATGAAACTACTTCCATTTATTCACTGAGATTAGCAGCAACCGGTAAGTGATGTGGCACCTGCAAATACAGGAGAAACGACAAATTATTCACTCTGTGGAAAACAGTCTTGTAATATCCGTGTGATGTGCCTGAAACCACCCTCCACTTGAGACCCTGGTACTTAACTACCCAACACACATGCAGTTTAATACATCATCTCATTAAATATATTGATTCAACATCCACGTTTGAAAAGCAATTCACTACTACATGTACTGTTCTAAGCAGTACAAATATAGACTTTCAAAATAATTATTAAAGAAATAATAAATACAAAATAATTATTTTTAACCCAGGTGCTTGTCTGTGGAAATGACAGCAAAGCCAAGCAAAGAGTGATGGATATAGTTCGTTCTCTTGGACTAACGCCACTGGACCAAGGATCTCTCATCGCAGCCAGCGACATTGAAAACTACCCCCTGCAACTGTTTCCAATGTGGAGGTTCCCCTTCTGCTTGTCTGCTGTTCTGTGTGTCTTCTTCTTTGTCTACTCTGTTATCAGAGACATCATCTACCCTTATGTTTATGACAAGAAAGATAATACATTCCGCTTGGCTGTTTCCATTCCAAATCGGGTCTTTCCAATAGTAGCCCTTATGCTGCTTGCGTTGGTTTACCTCCCTGGTATTATTGCTGCCATTCTGCAGCTGTACCGAGGTACGAAATATCGCCGATTCCCAGACTGGCTTGACCACTGGATGCTTTGCAGAAAGCAGCTTGGCTTGATAGCACTGGGGTTTGCCTTCCTTCACGTCATCTACACACTTGTGATTCCTATTCGGTATTATGTACGATGGAGGCTGAGAAACGTAACCGTCACCCAGGTAAGTCTCTACTTATTTGTACTCTCCTATTCTTTAAATCAAAGAGGAATCTTGCTACATGATATTCTATTTCACAATTATAGAAAATAAGTCTTCTAAGCATCTTTATTTTTTAAAGTGACTGGAGTTAGACACCTCATGTCTGTTTCTCGTTTTTGTTTTGTTCTTGATTGAATCCAGTTAATATCTCATACAACCATTGAGAAGGAAAGTTAGATTCCCAGGTTCCCTTGGGTCCAGATCTGTATTCCCAGGACTGACTGGGATCCTGAAAAACCAAAAGATTTGAGGGCTCAGGAAACCTTAAATTATTTGGGGGCACATTCAATCAATGTAAACCAATGCATTTTCAAGCTTCTGTTTTTATGCATGCTGCTTCCTTTTCGAAGTCAAAACCAACGATTTTGTAAGCAAGGAGGCTGTTTCAACATGTGTCACAAGAATGTAACAAATTTACAAAAGAGAGCTTATAACTCCATTAATGTCTTGACTTGTGGGCTCGTCCTCAACTGTTCAGTTTTCAAAGCAAATGGCAAATACTATTTTCCGCACAGCCAAGAAATTCAGAGAGAATCAACTCAGGGAGCCTAAAAGCAGTCCCAGACACAGTGCTATACATCAGCTCTTGTTAGGAAATAATTGGTTTTGACCAATGTTACTTCAGTCTCAGACCTTATTAGTCAATAACTCATTGATGGTGCTTCTGCGGGTTTCTCTGCATTCTTTCCCTGGCAAGTACATGGGAAGTTCTTGGGTAAGAATCACATTAAAGGGGCCTGATTTCTTTCAATCTGTGGTATGACAGACTTGATGCTGTATTACAACATAATAGACATGAAAGAACCCCAACTTTTTGTGTGTGAATAATCAGCATATAAAGCAGAAAAACAGAGCATTGATGTAGTCATTTTAGAACACCAGGTTTTGCTTGGGGAACAAGAAACCATTTGATTAAGAAGGTTTAAGTAAATGTTTTAGGATTTATAGGGTCAATTCAATTAAAACTCCCTATACAACTCCTGGAGTCAACTTTTATAATGAAGTCCTAGCGGAACCAATGACTTTTTCAACCAAAAATATAATAATTTCTATGTGTGTTTTTCTCCACAATTATTTTCAAATGATTATTAAGAAATGTCATATAATTTACCTTGAGCAAATAAACCATGCAGAGGTGTTTTTGTCCCCTTAAAGGTTTGTTCAGTCCCCTTGCAGTTTATAAAAAAATGTAATTTTTAAAAATTGGTTTTAATTTTTTGTAGGCAATAGCCAAGAAAGAAAATCCATTTATTACCTCTCAGGCCTGGCTTAGTGATTCATATCTGTCTTTGGGAATCCTTGGATTTTTCTTCTTTGTCCTTTTGGGCATCACTTCCTTGCCATCAGTTAGCAATATGGTCAACTGGAGAGAGTTCCGATTTGTCCAGGTAAGAACCTCAAGGTTTAATCTACTTTAATTGCAAAATGAGTCTGGCTTTACAAATACTCTCATTTTTCTCTCACACCATGCATAGATTTTCATTATGCTCAATCACTTCCCTAACAATCTCATAAAAATAGCAATGAAACAAGTTCAAATTAGAATATGCTAAACTCTGGAACCAAAGGCAGACGCCGTAGTGGTTTGATTCCTAGCAGGGCATTCCTTGCCAAGATTCCTGATTACTCCCAGAGCCACAGCTCCAAGTATGGAGTGAAAAGCACCAACAACTATTATACTTTGTTTGTGGAGATGTACTCAGTGCAAGGCGAAGAGAATCCAAAGACAGAATGTCTCCTTCTGAAAATCAACTTTACATCGATATATAAAGCAATATATTGAAATAAAGTTTAAAACCTTAGAAACAAGACATGCTAGACTGTCATCATACCAGACTCAGTGCTGATCTGTAACAGAAAAAAACCTGTTTATTCCACATATCAACTACCAGACACCTCATTAAAGAAGAATTTTAATTATTCATATAAACCAATGATCCTCAAAGTGTGATACCTGGACCACCAGCATTGTCAGCATCACCTGGAATCTCATTAGATACAGAAATCCCCAGGCCCTCCCAGGCCTAATAGGTCAGAAACCCTGGACATATGACCCAGCCATTTATTTTAACAAGCCCTCCATATTATTCTGATGCATGTTCGTTGTGAACCAATGGAATAGAATGGCCATTCGTAATTGATATTAGGTTTGAATTTTATATAACGATTCAAATTGCAGAAGTCTTACAGTTTCTTCCAGAGACCAAATGCAGTCAACATTTTCTCATGCAGCAATCTTTATTCAAGGCATTAAGATAGAAATAAACATTGAGCTTTAGTATTTCGGCCAAAGCAGACAAAGGTAAAGTTTGCTAATTGCTCTTTATTGCAATAGAAATTAGCTAGCATCTGCTTTTAGTCTGTAACATGTACTAATGTGGTACTTCTTGAGGACATGTTCTGTCTTACTTATCTCTGACCTCCAGAAATGGTGATCAAGGACAGAGTTTTACCATTGAGGACGAAGGCAAGATATCTTATTTGTTCTAACTTAGAAGAGTTTACCTGGGAAACTTTCCCATCCAGCCAGGTTAAGATGGAACCACCATGTCATTTTCAAGCTCAATCTTTTTTTTTTTATTTTTTTATCCTCACCCGAGGACATTTTTTGTTCAGATAGAGTGGAAGGGAGAGAGAGGAAGAGAGAGAGAGAAACATCGACGTGAAGGGACACATCGAGTGGCTGCCACCCGCACGACCAACCAGGGCCAGGGACAAACTGCAACCGAGGTACGTGCCCTTAGCGGGAACTGAACCCGGGTCTCTCGGGACCGCAGGCCGACGCTCTAACCGCTGAGCCAAACCAGCCAGGGCGATCTTTCTTTTTTTTTTTTTTTTTTTTTTTAAATGAAATATTTATCATCCTGAAGGAGGGTTAATGCTTTCTTCAGTACTTAGAGTGAAGGTTTGTGGTTGTTGACAATATTCTTCATTGGCTTAGAGCGTTTTTGCTTTACAATGTAAATAGTGTTAATGTACATATTTTTGTTTCTTGCTTTTATAGTCCAAACTTGGTTATGTGACCCTGATCCTGTGCACAGCTCACACCCTGATATACGGCGGAGACAGATTCCTCAAGCCCTCGAATCTCAAATGGTATCTACCTTTGGCTCATGTGCTAGCACTCATCATTCCTTGCACTGTGCTGGTGATCAAGTTTCTCCTCATCCTGCCGTGTATAGATAAGCCCCTCACTCGGATCCGCCAGGGCTGGGAAAGGAGCTCGAAATTGTCGAAATAGGCCTTGAATGGAAAAACTGACATTTGAAGTGACATTTAACCCACCCAGAGTTCTGAATTGTATGTTTAGGGACTACTAATGGGCTCAGTCAAGAAGCATTTTTCTCCCACTGTGGCCTGAAGTTTGGGAACAGCAAAGGAAATATTGCCTGACTTTGAAAATCGGAGTGATGGGAAGAGAACAGCATTTTACCTCGGGTTAGTGATGGATTCGTGTGGGTCCGCCTCCCCCAGAAGCAGCCAGACATGAGATCCAGATTAGCCTGTGGCTTCACACTCAGAACCTTCTTGCTGTGGGCACCATGCATGACCTAATGTCTTACAAATTTTCAAGTACATGCAACTTCCTTCTCTGGCTCAAGGGCTGAGTGGAGGAAAAGAGAAAACAGTAAAACGGTGGCCACTGATCAAGGCTTTATTAGGTGTGTCTGAAGAAGAAGGCGCAATGAAGTAAAATGAATGAGATTTTTTTTAAATTGTTTTTTGAACATGAAGGTGATTATATATCGCCATAGTCAATTCTGTAGTTAAATGTGCTCTTTGATTTTGCTTTTACCAATATGAATGTGTATAGCGGGAAACAATTTTATAATACAACAAAAATACTACAGCCGATGGGAAGAATTGGGTCAGATATATGTAAATGTGTACAGTTGTCCAAAGATCCCTCCTTTACAAGGAATAAGTGTAAGAAAGGTTGAGTTAAAATGGAAGGATACCCACTTGTATTTTCTCAATGTGCAATGAGCAAGGAAAGCCTGATAAAAGCCCTTCCACAAAAAGTTCAAATAAACCAGAATTTTTTTTTTTTTTTTATGTGCCCCTAGCGGGGACCAAACCTGGGACTCTCTGGTCCGCAGGCCGATGCCCCAACCGCTGAGCCCATCCAGCCAGGGTTAAGCCAGAATTTTAGACAGCAAGCTCAATAAATGTAAAGTTGCACTAGATTAGGTTTGGTTTTATTTAGGTATTGCAGTATGCTTTGTAAATAACATATTCCAAATGTTATTCATTAGTAATCAGCTAGGAAATGAATTTCTGGTATAAATAGTAGCTTCTGGAATTTGTCATAGTTCACTGTAATTTTAAGCAGTGAAGTTAAGTGAAGAATGAAAGTGTAAGTGTGATGGAAGCACAGAAGAGAGAATTATGGGAAGTCTTAGGGCAGAGCGCTGTGCGCAGTAGTTGTTACCGAGACTTGGTTCTTTCTCAGGTGCTCACTGGAATGCAGGATGACTCTCTGCTGATAGTTCCACCTACAAGGTGGCCTTCACCAGATTAGCCTTCCTGGCTCACACATGGAGCCAAAAAGAACTTCTCCCCACATGCTGAAATAACCAAAAGGCTTCGGGTTTGACATTTTTCACCTGCTCTGTCAAGACCATTTATTTTTCTCTTATTTTTACTTTGATCATCATATATTCGACATGATATTATATAAAATAATTAAAATGATTTAAAGCATCACCCATAACCCAGGATATTTTCCTATAAAACATTTTAAAAATAGTTCTATTTATACGGTATACTCAACTTCACATCCTTTTTAACAATATATTAGCAGCTCTGCTCTCTCAGTTACATGGCATATGTATTTAATTTATAGTTGCATGATATTATATCGAAGGGGACATTTATTAATCACTGCTCTAATTTAACAGGTAGGCTATATTCATTTTTTTACTAAAACAAGTAACTTTTCAGAGAATGTGTTAGCACTTACAACTTTTATCCACATTTCAAATTATTTCCTCAGAATACTTGCCAAGAATTGGGATTACAAAATTCAAGAATTTTTAATAGCATTTGATATATATTGCCAAATTATGTCTAAAGTGACCTTGTCAATATCATTGGTGTTGGATAAGGGTGTTGGTTTTGTGGTGGGCAGTTAGACAGACATGAGCAGAGCAAGAACGATGGGCCAGACACAGAAGGTCGCCAGGGCTGAAAGTCCTGGGTGCCTACCAAAGGACAATTGTAGAATGAGACCTCATTTCCAGGGTGACCTCCCCCCCACCAGCATATCCCTGGTCATGCTGTTTGGACCCCCTGACCTTTCCTCCTTAGAGATAACATCTAGGTCTCAGCTGTATTTCAGCTCCAAGCCCCAAAAAACAGCAAAACCAAACAAGCAACACCAAGTCCAAGGCTGGCCTCAGAGCCAGCTGCATTGGGTAATGACCCTACCCTGATGACGACCAGTTAATCAGTGGAGCCCCCGGCCCTGAAAGGACACCCCTGGAAAGCTGATGGATATTCTATTGAGATATGTCCCTGAGACCTCCCCTAAAATCTCCACCCTTAAAACCCTTAGAATGGAGGACCCAGTGAGCTCTCCCTCCTGGGAACCCATCAGCCTGCACCTTTCCCCTCCTGCTCCTTCATGCCCCTCCCCTCCCTCTCCCCCCAGGTGAGTCTCCTTGACCTTCCTTGATTTTAAGCTCCAAGGACTTTCTTTTGCTTCTATAACTTGTTTCCTAAGCCCATTTCTTCTATGAATTATTTCTTCTACCTCTGTGATTTTATAAATAAATGTCCTCTTACAGTTTGAGTCTTGGCTCTGAATTCTTTCCTGGCCAGAACTCAAGTACCGAGGTTGCTGAACCTAGGTACGGTCTGACCCCACGGGTCTAACACTTGGGGTAGTTCTTGCCACCTTCAACAGTTTCATTACACCCTTATAGGTTTTCTTTTTTATCTCGATTTGTGTTCACTGAGAAGATACACAGAGCGTATGATCCATTAATGTATCCCTGATCCACCCAGCAAGGATACAAAAAGCTGGACAACTCTCAGCAGTGTGTGGAGTGCCAACCCTAGAGCATCAGTGGGAAAGACAGGGAATATGTCACTGCTCATCCACTCTATTTTAGGCCAAAGAGCCAAATGTTGGAGGGTTAGAGCCTATTGGTTGAGGACTATCTAGGTTGTTATTAAAAAGCCTTTTGGGTTAACCATGCTCCTTTTTAGTAACAGAATATGTTTTTACTGGGTCACAGTTCATCCCTAAAAATAGAAAATACCACACCTGGGTAGCAAAGCTTTTCTGGAATAAAATGGGCTCTACTTTTATAACCTAGTAAAAATCCTCTACCCAGGTACTTAATAAAAGCTTTCCATGAAGCTAGAAGTTAAAGAGTGCCCCCTGGTGGTTTTTACATAACACTGCATTACCAGGTCTGACTTGGTCTCAACCTCAAAGGCTCAAAACCCACCAGCAGACCACAAAAGCCAATTTCCTTCTCTTCCCTCCCCAAATTCCTTCTTCCCCAAACCATCAAACCAACTTGACCATCCTGACACAGCCAACTTCTCCAGTTTACTTACAGTGGAAAGAATGAGTTTGGAATAGATGGAAATAGTGAACTGTATATTCCTTTTAACAGATCCAAATTGTTCTATATAAAAGTTAGACTAAATTTCTTCACTACTGGTGTGCTTCCTGTATTCTAGGGAAACTTTTATTAAGCTCACAGACCTTTTATTTTTGTATGTTTTCCTCATGTTAAAAGATGACTGCTTTTGTAAATGTGTACTCATTAAACATTACTTTTTAAATATTTTTCAGCTTTGTTTAATTCTGGTTTTAACTCATCATTATTACAGAGAAAGTGATGAAAAGATTTTGAGTCACAGTATTTTCAGCATCAGGAACTGAAAGTGTCTCTCTTCAGAAATAAGGTAAAAGAGAGGCCAGGGCATGGGTTTGAAAGCACACTGAGGGATTTGCAGTCTCATGCAATGAATGCATGTTTGAGCTAAATGCGGAGGTGCATCCCACACCCTGCAAGCTTCAGTTCCTCCTTCAGAGAGGGGAGCATCAGCTGGCCAAGTGGTAGGTGTCCGATGGCCTGGGGACTGGCGCCAGGCAAAGTGCTCGACCATTGTCTCCTTGCTCAGCCTTGTCTCCCACCCTGAACAGCCTGCCTCGAGCTTGTAGATTAACTCCCATCTTGCTCTTATCGATTCACATTCCAGAGGCTCCATGCATAACCCCCGCAGGGCCAAACCCTAAGGGACAAATTCCAGCTGCAACGGGCAGATATAAAAGACACAAGCCCCTACATTGAGCGCGGCTTCTAGGACTCGACCCCCGGAGTCTGTGAACCCGCCCGGAGTGCACCCAATAAAGCCTGATCCCTGTTTATTCGGCTGATTGGCTCTCCAGTCTCTTCTCTGTTTTATTCGGCGGCGCCCCTGATTCCTTACAGTAGGTGTAAATATACTGTCCCACACCAGGCTCTCCTTCTTCCAGGGCCCAGACAGGGCTAAGGACTTGATGGATGAACTGACTCCAGGTTAGATTTCAGTCTGTGGGACCAGAGGTTAAACTCCCTGCACAGCTGGACAGCTGCAGCCCTGATGGGTATTATCTTCCTTTCAAACACAAAATAAAAACCGATGAAGAGAGAACTAACAACCTAGAGTAAGCTAGAAGCAAATAGAAAAGCCCCTACTGGAAAGCTACTTCCATTGGAAATGTCAAGTGTTTATTGTTCAGGATCACAGAAGAGCCATGATACTGATGAATGTATGTAATGAATTTTACTTTTAGGAGCTCAAAAGATTCTAGACCTCCTACCCAAATCAAGGCGCTACACACGGGGCTCACAATTTCCATTCCGCAAGACCCCAACCATCACCCATACCATCACCCGTCTAACACACACACACCAATAATATCCTAATATGATCTGCTCTGATTTTGTGCACTGAATTAGGATTACAATATAGAAAAATCCTCTGCTCCTCTAAAAATTTGATCAGTATAATTTAGGAAAGAGAATAAGTTACTCTTTTATGCATTACCTTTCCTGAAGCTCAAGGCAAAGACCTGAACTCTCAGATAAGAGGAAGTAAGAAAAAAACTCCAAATAGGAAAGAAGGATCGAGGGTGAAGCAGAAAGGAATGGGGGGTCAGAGAAAGGGGAAGTGTGGATGAGTGGGACAGTACACCCCACCCTAGCCCAACGAGGACACAGGCATCCAGTTCTACATGTTTCCTGCTACAGGGGAAACTTGGAAAGTGTTCAGTGATGATGACTGTATAATACTATGAGCAAAGCCTGAGCTAAAAACTTGATATACATTATTTTATTTAATCCTCATTAACAATTCTCTAATGTACCTTCAAATAAAGAAAAACATTTAAGGCTGCAAGCCTTTCTAAAAGAAAGGGTATATTGAGCCACATGCTGGCCAGAAGGGCCAGGCCTGGGATGTGCAGTCTAAGCCACCAGCAGCAGGATAGGTGGAGAAGACAAACATGTCCACAGTCCTGGAGCTGATGGACCTTTTATACGTCGAGTTTAGAGAAGAAAGATGGAAGTTGTGTGGAAAGAATTTAGGTAGGCTACAGATAAAGCCGGTGGGGAAGAACTGTTTCCCCTTTAAATTGGTTGTGGGCAGCAGTACAGAAAGTTCATGCCTAGGCAATTCTCTTTAGATAGTCTGGGAAATAGCCTGTAGATTAATTCAAAGTTTTAACATACATTCAGGAATGTAAGCAGTCTTTTGTTGGTTTTGCCCTGCAGTTATTAACTGATTAACCCTCTATTGTCTCCTCCTTCCTCCCTCCAGCCTGCTGAATTGTACTTTAGGACATCTCAGAATTTTTTCTTGTCAGTATGTATTCTTATTATCCTCGTTTTTTGGGGTTTTTTTTTCAGAAGCAACTGAGCCTTGAAAGCACCGAGTGCCTTTGCTTGAGGCAGAGCTGGGTTTGCAGGAAGGCAGTCTGCCTCCAGGCCAGTCCCTTTCAGTAGGCAGCATAAGGAAGGCAACGCATCCAGCCCTCCGAAAGGTCCCTCTGATCCCATAGATCAGGCTGGATGGATTGAACCACTGGAAACTTTTTTTTAAAGGGAGTTCATTAGCACTTTAAATATCCCTGATTGTGCAATCCTTAACGATCCACATTTGCCTGTTGTTGATGTTAATAGACCCTATAATGTTACAGGGACAGGAGATCCATAGCTCTGGCAGGGAGTTCAACTCTGCAGTAACTGCCATTCGAAGCTTCCGACTCCAGTCTGGCCGCAACTTTCCTAAGCGTCAAACAGAGCTTTGTTGGTTCAGAGGGAGGGAGGCAAAACCCTCTAACCAGAGGACTCAAAGTAATAGCCAAGGGGAATACAGATCTTCTCCAGGAGCTGAAAGCCAAGCATCTTCTTTCTCTGGTTTCACCTTAGTGCTTCTTGTACTGAGTAAACATATTGTTCTTGAGATTCAGTGACTCGCCCAGGAAATCGAACACTTTCATTTAGTATTGTAACACTAGTTGAAAAAACTTAGGGTTAAAAAAAAGATTCAGTCCCATTACCTATAGTTGCCAGTTTCTCAGTTTGTAAATATAAAGGACTGTGGGAATGGAACTCACGGTACATCAAACACTATCAGAACAGGAGCAACTAGAATTAAACTTTCCCCTATGATTTTTAGAGAGCCGATGGGTCTTTAAGGAACACAACCAGTAAATTACACCTGACCCCTGAACAACACGGGTTTGAGCTGTGCTGGTCCACTTACACATGGACTTCCAATAAATACTGTAAATATATGTTGTTTCTTATGATTTTCATAACATTTTCTATTCTCCAGCTTACTTGACTGTAAGAATACAGTATATGATACAACATACAAAATTAGTGTTATTAGACTGCGATTGTTATTGGCAAGGCTTCTGGTCAGCAGCACACTATCAGTAGTTAAGTTTTCGGGGGAGTCAAAAGTGAAACACTATTTTCAAATACATGGGGGATGGCACCCTTAATCCCTATGTTGTTCAAGGGTCAACTGAGGTATTATTTTTACTAATTTTTTCTTTCATAGAAGAGATGGGGGAAAAAAAACAGCTAAAAGCAAATACAATAGAAGACTTGGGGAAAGAGGAAAGACTACTTTAAATTGTTTTGTTTTTTTATCCTCACCAGAGGACATTTTTTCTCTTTTTGCCTTTATCTTCAGATAGAGCAAGAGGCAGAAAGGGAGAAAGAGAGAGAGAGAAACGTGGATATGAGACAGACACCCACACAATCCCAACCAGGCCTGGGGGGAAAAGACTGCAACCCAGGTAGCTCCCTTAGCGGGAATCTAACCGGGACTCCCGGTCCATGGGTGTTGGCGGGCTCCTGGGCCAACGCTCTAACCACTGAGCCAAACCTGCCAGGGTTATTATTATTTTTTTTTTCTTAAAGAAAGAGTAGAACGACAGAGTTGCTGTCACCATGGCCATGGGCCCCGCTGGTGGAGCCTTGTGTACTTATCTTTCCATTCCAGTGACAGGCAAAACACAAAAGAGGGAAGAAGGCTAGAATAACAAAACCGACAGCTGCCTGAACCTCATAACACCCTGATTATAACACATTAGCATGCTAACTGACATACCCACTGGTAAAAGGGTCGGGCCCCAGTTCTGGAAAGAGACCAGCCCATTCCCTGAAAGTCATGCATGTGCCGCCTCCCGTTACGCTGCCCCCAGAATCACCTCCCAAGACTTCTCTAGGAGGAGAAGCTGGTTTATGAGGTTAACTCCTGTGTCTCCGTTCTCTGGCCATTGAAAAGGCTTGTGTTGCTGAACGGTCAGCTTCCCTTTCGTTTTTTGGTTCCGTCACCACCAGCAAAGGAACAAACCTTGAAAGGACCGAGGGTCTGGACGTTCTAAATTGGTAAGTAACCTCAGTGTTCAAGTTTCCTTAAGGCAGAGTGGTACAATCTGTGAAAATGGAAGAGATCTGCCACCAAATTATTCTTCGTAGTCTCAACAGCCAGCAGCCAAGCAGGCCTAAGCCTTCTCCTGGTGAGAGCATCACTGCCTGCCACCAATGGGAAATCACTTCCATTCCTAGGCATTCTGGGCAATGGGAAAATTCTCTTACATCTGACCAAAATGTTCCTAATTGTTCTTTCACCCACTGTTCCTAGTGCCATCATTTAAAGGGTTCCTTGCCCAGCTGGTGTGGCTTAGTGGTTGAGCATCAACCCATGCACCAAGAGGCCACTGGTTCAATTTCCGGTCAGGACACATGCCCAGGTTGTGGGCCAGATCCCCAGTGGGGGCATGCAGGAGGTGACCAGTCGATGTTCTCTCTCATCGATGTTTCTATCTCTCTCACCCTTTCCCTTCCTCTCTAAAAAAAGTCAATAAAGAAAAAAATTTTTTTTAATATAAAGGGGTGCCCTGGCCAGTTTTCTCAGCGGTTAGAGCATTGGCCCGCAGACCACAGAGTCCCAGGTTTGGTTCCCGCTAAGGGCACGTACCTAGGTTGCAGTTTGTCCCCAGCCCTAGTTGGGGTCGTGTGAGTGGCAGCCACTCGATGTCTCTCTCTCTCTCTCTCTCTCTCATCGTTGTTTCTCTCTCTCTCTCTTCCTCCCTCTCTCCCTCCTGTTCTATCTGAAGATAAATGCAAAAATGTCCTCGGGTGAGGATAAAAATAAATAAACAAACAAACAAATGAATAAAATAATAAAGGAGTACCTCTGCAACTATCCAAGATAAAGGCCAGTTCTTTGGTTTGGTTTTTTTCCAATTCATCACAGACCACTGTGTGTGTGTATGTAACA